TGAATGAGACATTATAAAGTCTTAAATGCCAAGTGAAACGAGTTGATCAAACGAACTAAGATATTAGACATAAAAATAGAAAACTTCAGTTGTCTGTGTCGAGTAATCTGTTAAGTTAGAAATCTTAAAGAATCAACTGTTCATTATTATCCGAGAGTCAAAGATTCTATTACTGCTAAGGAATCTATCAACCATCCTTTGTCATTAACTCTTGTAGTTAATTTTGATTCTTTTGGTTTGTCTCTATTTTCAGAGTAACATAATTAAGAGATGAGAGGCTGCCATCAACGAGCCTTTCCTTTCGTTATATTTCCGTCTTCATCCTGAAGTAGACAGCTTCTTCCTTCTTTTAAATGATATTAGAAGGATTCTTTTTGTCTTTTTATTCGAAAAAGCTGTAGAGTTTTGCAAAGATGACAGCCATCCCATCACTTAACCAGTATTTGTCAAGATCCAAAGATCACTCGTATGGCAATCTATTTGTTTATGGTACATGCTTTTATTAATCGTATCAATTAGCATAGTACATACACCTTTTGATGCAAAATATCTCATCAAACTTAGCAAACACAATTTCATGATTTCATCAGCTTCAAATCTATGAGAAATTTATAACCCTTTTATTAAGATCAGGGTAAAATATAAACTTAATTCAGTCATTAGAAACTGCAGTATATTAAATATTCAAATCATAGCATTTGAATTGATATGTGTTCATGGACATCCAAGAAAGCTACTGGAGTACGAGTTAGCATTCATCACCAGGAATAATCCATCGCTTGGCATTAACATTTCAATCAAGATACTCGAGTGAAAAACAAGGAAAATAAACTGCGTAGTAAAAGAAGGATGAAAGGAAAAATGAAGTATTAAAAAAACATCAGCATGCAATAAAAAAGTAGTCACACAAATAGCAAATACAATCATTCCAAATAAAGGTTTCAGAGAATAAGATAATCTACATCCACTATGTCCCAAGCACACAAGATGCAAACTGTGAAGCTTGTATTTTTATGGACCAGGGCAATACCTTAGGTGGCTTGAATGGGTAATCAGGAGGAAAATGAATGGTGACTAGAAAAACACCCCCAGCATACGGGCTATCAGGGGGGCCCATTATCGTTGCTTGCCAGTGAAACATATCCTCTGCCACAGGGCCTGGGCAAGTGATGAACAAAGCATAATGAAATGAACTTAATCAATATAATATATTATAACAGATACAAGAATGCGCTTCAAATAAATTTTCCAAATTTTCATACTGAAACCCGAACTTTAGACCTACTTGTTTGTTAAAATCAGAAATGGAATATTGTATCAGTGATATTTAGTGTGAATTCTAGTCAGCCAAGCCCTATCACTATGGAAAATTAAAGGAATATTTGCCTAAAATTGGCCCCTATTTCAAGATAACTATCATAAACCCGAAGGAGTTGAGAAAAATCTCAATTGGAAAAAATGATTTAAGAAGTAAATTGAATAATAATATCCTAAAAGCTATAAGATTCAGTGTACGAAAAACCTTGACCCTAATAGCCATGATCAAATGGAGGGAAACGGAGTTTAATTCAAAAAAGGTGGCGAAAACTCAGGTCAGCTAATCACAACTTGAACATCTCAATAGTCAATTACCTTTGGCGAAACTATTCAACGCTTAGAAAAATGTCTCACAAAATCCCACTTTTGACAAAAATCTTGTGAAAGCCATTATAAAGGTTGAGAAATTTACAAGCCATCATATACTTCATTCATGGGTTATATATCTAGATTCGCACAGACACATATCAAAACGAGAAAAACATCCGATAAAATCACATACAACGTATTCACTCCATTTCCCATGACATTGGCGGGATAATTGTCGGCTTAATGTCCGCTCCAGTTTTGAATATCTAGTTTTCCAATATGTTATTAGGCAAGGTTTTCATAAGCATCGTCACTGTTGGTTTGTAATAGAAACACCGACAGCTAATATTGTCAAATGAAAATATAAATAAATAAATAAACACAACAAATAGACCCGCATCCATAAAATTTCCAGAAATCGCAGATCGGGTCCTGTAGGAAGCCTAAAAACTACTTAAACAGGAAAAACAACAAAAAACAGGGCTAAGAAAGGGGATTTGGTGGAAACAAATTGATACCAGCACTGCAAGAGGTAGGAGGGTCTTTCTGGAGGTCTTTGAGCTCCTTCAAGATCCGCTTGGAAGCCATTTGAGTAGTTCCGCCGAAGAAAAGAAGTCTTCGTTTCGATCTAAAGACGGGAATGAAGAACGAGGAAAAATGGGGTTGCTTTCTGAAATAAACAAATGAGGGCGAGAAATCAACTTGAAGAAATGACGACGGAAAAAGGAAGCGATTAATGTCTTTTACGTATTGATAAAAACTGAGGTCCCTTTCCGCTTTTATGAACCGTGGTTGTGATTTGTGAATAGCTTGTTCCTATCTTTTTAAGCGAATATTAGTTTATAGGCCCTGAAAATTTACAACTTCTTCTAAAGAAAAGTCTTTATAGTTAGCAAATTAAGAATTAATCCCTACAAATTAAGATGTTGGCCTAGTTGGCCCATATTATTAGTGAAATTTTAATCACCTATCCTCCATGAGTCCATATCTATCAATGTTAACTAATATACCATGTGACAAACTAGGATTGATGTAATGTGGTCTTTTAATATTGGGAAAAAAATCAATATTATTAATTTATGTAAGAACTTGAAGCTTTCGTTTGAATCGCACTTCTTACATTTCTCAACCTTAATTTGTAGGTGATTGTGTATAAATGACAATGGCATGATCAATGATGATGATGTTTTAAAACATTGTAATTGCCATCTTAGCTTTTCTTTTTGTTTCTCTTCTTTTATTTTTATTTTTATATAACCATCTCAGCTTTTCTAAAACATTGTAATTGCCTCGTATTATAACCTAATGACATGAATATAATGTCCTCCTATAAGTGCGAGGTTACATGTTTAATGTCACTTATTATCCCACATATGTTAGAATCTATCACACTTTTTATATACACACACAGAGACTAGAATCTATTACTCTTATAGTGAAAAAAAATCCTATTTTCACTAATTCAATTTTGGATTTACAATATGATTCTTGTCATTAACTATTTGCTAAATTAGCCCATTCAACACTGGGACCTTGTCCTCATGGCCCAACTAGCCTCCTCAAGGTTTGTTTTGATGTCTCTAGCTGCTAACAACCTTTTTTTTTTTTTTTTAAATCATAGATTGGTCTTATCCATAATTTTGGGCAAGTTCATAGGAATGGAACCCTCATCAACACAACTGGTTTGCTTGAGACTTATGCAGAAGCCTAATGAGAGGTCTTTACTTTAGAAAAGCTCAACCGTGGTCAGTGATAACCATGGCCACCCAAGCTTTTAACTCGTTGCTTATAATCCAAACCAGAAGCCGCTATGATTGGCAATGAAGACCTTGCCATTTTGTTTCATAATTATTAGGTATGATTCTTCTTTGATTTTTTTTTTTTGGCCTTTTATGTGGGTGCCTTATGTATGATACCTATTGTTATTTGTTATCATCCAAACTGGTGATTGAACTGTTCAAACTACTCAATAATATTCCTGCATTATTGTTATACATGTGGTCGGGAATATATAAAATTGATGCCCCAACCAATTATTCATCTCCCCATACTCTTCTTTTCATATTAGCTTCTTTTTTTTCTTTTGAATTCAAATGCAGGTACTAACAACGTAAAGTTATAAGTGGAATTAAACTTGTTGTTTTGCACTTATAAGAAAATTTTCATACTATTAAATTACAAAACCGTTGGCTTCTCTTCATATTAGTTAAGTTTATATTTGAGCAGCTTGTGTACAATTATCACTAATTAGTTGTCTGGACCTACTCCTCATTGTTACAGGGATTTGAATATCAGTTATTTAAATTTGAACAATTTATATATTTTTCATGAAATTATACCCCTAATGCATACGCTACAAGTTTTTAGTGATCCTTAGGAAACGTTATTATCATAATGGTACTGAACATGAGCAAGAATATGAAAGAAAGAAAGAGGTGTGATATCATTCTCTAGCCAACCTCTGACCATTTTCTACACACAGGCGGCAGAGGCAGCCTTTCAAGTTGTCTAATTTCCCACCAATCAGAATGCTACGTTGCACCTCAATATTGAAAATTATCATATGCCCTTTTCCCTAACCCACTATGCATCGCACCTAATAAACTTGGTTTAATACATAAAATTTCAACAACAAAAAAGAAGAAGAAGTAATTTTAGTTTATTTTTAAAAACGAAAAGACGGTGAAGTATGGTAGATAATACTCCTCTGGTCTTTAATGTAAGATCCATTTAACTAATTTGATTAGATTAAGAAAGTTAGGTAAGTTAGTTAATTATAAAAAATATAACATGTTTTTCTTAAAACATCATAATTATCTTTTTTAATATCCTATCTTCTTCTTCTATTTGATTATGGTTGAGGGAGTATCCATAGGGGTAATTTAGAAAAAATTGATAAATATGAGAAATAAGTCTTATATTTATGATCAAAACTAACTTAAGAATTAGGTATTAAGGACCGGAGGAGTATTCATTAATAATAGTCACCCCCTCCCTTTTCCTTAAATAAGATGAACATCGGACCTGGCTCAGAACATTTGATGATTGAACTAGTAGATAATGTGGACATCTCTCAGAAATATAGTTTACTTAAATTAAATTGTTTGGCCAAAAAATATTTTGAAATTGATTAGTTTAACACATTCATTGAATACACTTCTTGAAATTTTCTCTCTATTTTTCTTTTCCATCCTTTCAATTAAAGACTTTTACAAAAAAATTAACGTGGTATCCTCAAAATAGAGAGAGAATGACAACACATATAGTTTTATTTTTATTATTTCCATATTTTTATTTTAGAAGCACATTCTATATTCTCCGCGAATTAAATTTAACCGAAGAAGAAGAAGAAGAACCCCACCACCGCACAGATCTTTAAGAATACAAGAAGTTCTTCAATTGTAAAATGAGTGATGAATGCTTATCAACAATCCCTTGAGATAAACAAGCAAACGAATAAATTATAATATAAACATTAAATACAATATAATCAATCAATCACCCTGTATAATAAACCCCGTAACAACCCCACTGCACAACCAGAAGAACCAAACAGTACCTTGAATTCCTGCAGATGATACCCTTCTTCTTCTTTGACTGTGACCCTTTTTATCCTTCTCCAAGCAAAGTATTTTACAAACTTATTACTTTCACTTTTGTAAAACACCAAAAAGAACAAGTATGGAATTTTCTTTAGATCTACAATCCCCTTCGGTTCTGATTCTGATTCAGAACTGCTTGTTGCAGAGCAACACGAGGTACTGTAGTAAAACCTTTCACTGTTAAAAAGAAGTAGTGGCCAGCTCACTGTATCTTGATCCTGCGTCCACAAGAAACAAATAACTTCAGAATTGTCATACTTTGCTATCAAAGGAAACAGGGGCTTTCCTTCAAACCCAGTTGGTAGGAGGTTGTCATATCTGATAAGCATAACTCACCAAAGAATTTCTTGTGTGTGTGTGTGCGTGTGCGCTTTTTGGCCTAATTAATATTCAACATATTCAATAAAATTTGATTTCACAAGGGAAAAAAAGATATCTTAAGAGAAATAATTTGTTCGAATCTTTCATCTTCTACTCCCATATCAATAAAGAATTTGACTAAAATGAAAAAAAAGAAGAAGCTTCCTATAAATAAATCTCTTGGCCATTAAATTTTTCTTTCTATTCAAGAAGTCTGGTTATGAAATTACTATAAAAGATAAACTTGTTATCGGGATATTAAATAAATATCTTGAAAGTGATTTATACATCACAATTAAGCATAGGATTATACTTGGCTGTAAATATAATCAAGATCTTCGATGGTCGTAATTTATGAGGAGTGTGTTATAATTTTTTCCATTCAAAATTACAAGTCGAGGTAGTCTTTTTCATTCAAGTTTGTACATAAGAGAGTTTTACAATTTTTCTGCTCAAAATCATACAAAATAATTTTCTCAAGCGAATATTTTGGTAAGTGGGATTCACTGATGTATTTATACAGTCATTTTATCAAGTTCCTAAGGCCTCTTGCACCATCATTTCCTTTAGGATCTGTTTGGTATGAGGAAAAATGAGAGGAGGGGAGGAGAGGAAAAATTTATTAAGTCTGATTTAGAAAATTAAAAAAGTGGGGTTATAAGCTCTTAACTAATTTTCATTACTCTTTTATATTACTTTTTCTCTTTATTAAAATTTCAAAACCCCACTTCTCAAATTTTTTAAGTAGAACTCATTAAAATTTTTCTTTCCCTCCCCTCCGCTCTATTTCTCTCATACCAAACAATGCCTTATGCAAGGGTGCGGTAGCGAAGGCTTTAAAGTGAACATGTAAAAATAGGTCCAAATGAAAAGTCACAATCGCCCAATAGTTTGGTTTCAAATTAGGTGGGTTTGTTCTGTGAAATTTGAACTAAATGAAGCTTGAATAATACTATTTCCAGTCCTATTTATAACAGCTAGTTGACTAATTTGAAAAGATTAAGGAAAGAAGTTAAACTAGTTATTTGTAATAAGTATGTGTTGTCTTTCCTAAAATATCATTATTAATCAAGTATATTAGCTAGAACTATTATTGTTAGAAGAACTATATTGGAAAAAAATGTATAAGTATAAGAGACAAAGTGGATTGAGATTTTATATTTAGAACCAAAATAAAAGTAAAACAAAGTCTTATATTAAAAACCGGAGATAGTATTTGAGAAGACGACCACAGATAATGCAGGATACTTAAGGCTATCCCAAATACTAAAACACCATGCAAAGTCATACAATACAAACTACATGGTTTCTGCTCAAAGAGAATAGTGTAACTAGGAAATTTGGTAGAAAAATAAAGGGAATGGATTTTTTCAAAATAGAGCAGATTCAAATACAGTTATCACATAACTCCAACCTCCATGAAAAATTGATTTATCAACTTTCCCGTTCGTAGTTACCGACATGCACTTTGTTTAGAGGTAAATCTGATCTGCTTACAGGCGCATATATATATTTGTGAATATTTCAATGTATATGATGGTTCTGAATCATATGCTTATAATGGATAAACCGATGGGAAAAGAATTCAGAAAGAGGATAAAAATTTAAGCAAAATTTAAAGCGAAGACAGAATTGTTTACCATTTGAGCAAAGTGATGGTGCATTTGGGCATCGCTCCACCTTCAAGTTTCTTCAATGTCACTTCTCCACACACCACACTGATCCCCACAGTTCCTATCTTTAAGCTCTGCACACTCATCCCCACTCTGGTTTGAACCTCCACACTGGGAACGAACTCTCTGCTTCGAAACTTTCCCCTGAGATTCTTCCCCTCACTATCCAGCAAAATCTGATCCTTCACCCTTGTCTCCGCCTTCAGAAGCGTCACCTCCTTCGCCTTAATCGAGAATGCTGGAATCGTCTTCTCCCCGAGATTCACATTCCCATCGTCCGTCGAAATCCCGAACATCGTCTGGCCGAAATACCACTGGATTTTGCTGTTCGGGTTCTTCACTTCCACCCTCGTCACCGTGCTGGCATCGAGGTACACACCGTCAGTCTTCTGGGTGACGTTTAACCTGTTAACTCGGAAGGACTGGAGATGGAAAACTGGCGGCTGCGGGTCGTAGACGATGTAGATAAGCGAGGCAGCAACGATGAGGGCGACGATGAGGATGAGGATGAATACGCAGAAGACGCAGCAGCACTTCCGGCAATAGCGTCGGCGGCGCTGCTTCTTGGACCGAAGGGAGAGTGGGAGAACGGGTTTTCGAGCTAACGGCGGTCTCGGTTTTGGTTGTTGCGGATTGTTCGGGTCTCGGTAACCTGGTGGCTTCTGAAGCACAGGTTTTAATGGCGGTGAAGCCATTGAGTCCGTTAAGAGTTTGGATTATCGAGGAAACAAATCAGTAAAGTCAATAAGAATTCAGCAGGCGGTAGTGACGGTTATGAAAAGAAAGCAACAGTAGATTATGAAAGGAATGAATGAACGATGATCGAACAGAATCAGAATTTCAGGTTCAAAAGACGCAGAGTTATGGAGAATCAAAATCAAAGCAGAGAGCGATAGTTCTGAGTAAGGGGTGTTTCAGATGGGAATTGGAGAAGAAAACAGAGGATTGATTGGGTGGGAAAGGGAAAGGAGAAAGTGAACGAAACAGGGCAGAGTATGAAGGAGAAGAGAAAGGGAGAGGAGTAATGTGAAAATGGAAGAATACTGAGGAAGAGATAGATCTGAATCTGGGAAAATGAGAGTTGATGATGAGGGAAGAGGATGCTGAGTTGGGTCACGAGAGAATGAGAAGAAGACAAAGGAAGTTCCAGATAGAGAGAGAGAGAGGGAGGGAGGAGAGAATGTTTGCGTATGGAAGAGAGGAGTGCTGAGGATTATAAGGATGGAGATTATCGACTGCCACGTCATGGCGGGAAGCGTTTTAGAGCACATTTTGCATACTCATGCATGCTTCTCCACTGGAAAAAGAAATCGGTTTTTCATTTTGTTAAAATAAATTAACAAAGTATTGATAAATTAGTTCAGAAAAATAATAATATAATAAATAAAATGAGTTTGAGATTTTATAATTAAATACAACTTCTCAATTAATTCTTATATTAAACATAAAAAGCAGTATTATTTTTTTATTTGCATGTCGTTCTTTCCCAAAAACCAAAAAAAAAAGAAGAACAATCATGTTCATGATTATGCAAATGCATGGGTGTTTACATGAGATAGGCTCATATTACACGTTAAGAATAACAGCACTTGTGCCTAATAAATAAGTAGTACTACTTTCTGTTTTAATTATAAAATATTGTTTATAATTTATAAATAAGGTCTTACAATTAAGATTGAAGATAGTATATTGTTATAAATTAAAGAATAAATTTAAAATTTATCACTACACTTTTACCAAAAAAGGTTATTCATACTCATTTTTGTTTAAAAGCAGATTTTTGAAAATAATTATAAAGATTGAAGTACGCAACCTAGTGGCATAAAAAAACCCAAACGGCTCTTTCCAGTGTATCAAAAAGAAAAAACCCCAAACTCCATGTTATTATATTAATAATTTTTTGGTCAGATATATTGATAATTTACTTCATCATTTTTTTTTAATAAGTGATTGCAAATTTTTTTTTTTTTGCGTGCCTTATAATTTCAAAACTACATTGTGTAAACATGCATAGATATACGTAAAAGTCAATTTTTTTTTTGCCGTTAATAGTAATAATGAAATCGATTACATGTTTATATGTTTACTAATATTAATAGTAATATGATCTATATTTAAGTTTTCTAGAAGCATACATATTATTACTTACATGATTAATTCAATAATGAAATTAAGAAAAGCAAACCAGAATTAATTCAATTAAATTATGCCCACCGGCTTCTTTTTGGTCTTTGACATAATTTTTCCTTGTTCTTCACATTTTGTGGACCCAAGCACTGTTGTCAGGATTACGTGTCAAATACACGTGTCATTCGATTTTTTTTTATCTTAAATAAATTAAACACATACATAAGAAATGTATATTTTCACTTTCGTCCTATGGGCATGGGCTTGTAGCAGAATATCAGAAGTATATGGACCCAAAATACCATAGTCTTTCTTCATGTGGCCCTCAATGACATTGTCCCCTCATTCCATGATTTTGGATTAACAAAAATAAATATTTAGTGTCTAATCATATACAAAATTCTAGTTTGGCTTCTTAATTTTATAAATATTTTTTTAATCATCTGATCCTAACATCATTACTATTAATCTCACTAAAATATTGCATTGCTGACATATTATTTTCAAATAGTAAATATTATGGTGACATTTTCTGTTAATAAACTTAATTATATTGGGTTAGGAGAAAAATACTTTATAAAATTGATAAAAAAACCAAATAGGAACGTGTATAAAATTAAATGAGTAAAAGTATTTTTTCCATAGTTTAATTGAGTTTTATTTTATTTCATTTGAAACTTTTTTATTTGAAAAGTAGGAAAAATTAGTATGTGTCCTAAGAAAAGAATCTAATTATTAAAAAGTCTCATAATAAATAAATAAATAAAAAGTTCAAGTATAGGAAATAGCAACACGATTCATGCAAATTAGTTACTAAATTTTTTGGCAATTATATTCTTTTCTTGTAACCTCATAATAATTTTTTAAAAAAATATAAATATAAAATAATTGTGAAGTTGATAAAATAATTTATAAAAAATTACTCATGAATATTTTTTATGAAAAATAAAAAATATTTAATATAATAAAGTATAATCTAATGTCTTGTTTTAAAAAATTGAATATTATATAAAAAAAAAGTTTCCCAATACCTTATTCTTCCAAGAGGAATAAATAATAATGACCCTTATCCAATGCCATGTGGGGACTGCGGAGACTAGAGCGCACAACAGAGCCACATCCTTCGTCTTTTCTTTTTTTTTTTTTTTCCCACCCTCCTGGCTTTTATTTTCCTTCTCCTTTTCTACCAAACTACATTGAATTACCTCTCTTTCCCAAACAAATGAGTTAGAGTTACTTACAGAGCCTTCAAATTTTAATCATCCTACTATCTCAACAAAATTTTTGACTTATTTGAAAACTAAAAACAAGTTGTGAATACATGAAAAGTTTTTAAAATTCCTGATACAATCACGACAGCATGATGAAGATTGTGATTTTTGATGGCGCGCAGACTCAAATTGATTTTTCATATAAGAATAAAGATAAAATAGTTTTTAATTATATATTATTAATTTTTTATTTTTCTACGTTAAGTTATTATGAATTAAACAAACACTAAGATGAATAAAATTTGTTATGAAATATCTTCAATAAAAAAATCTTCCTACTGCACTCATAAACATATAATTCAAACTTTTTCACTTTAATGTAACTTACGCTATACGATATAACGAGATCCAATGATAAAAATTTTCCTAATAAATAAAATAAATTTAGTCTTGTATAGTTTTTTTAAAATTTTATATAGAATTATGAGAGCATATCTCAACAATCAGAGTGGCGCAGCGGAAGCGTGGTGGGCCCATAACCCACAGGTCCCTGGATCGAAACCAGGCTCTGATATGAGAAGGCTTCCTTTTTATTTTTTTTTCCCCTAGGTCCTATTCCCGGTCCCCCACATCACCACAAACCAACAAGATGAGACGAAAATTCAAACACGACAGCACAGAATAAATATGATTTCCATATAAATATGTATGATGTGACTTTATTTTATTTTTTTCCACACACCGGAGTTCACAAGGTTTTGGTAGATCTAGTGGCCAAGAATGCATCACACAATTATGCGGGCAACACTACTTTTTACTGTCGAGGAAAGCAGTCATTGATATGAGAAGTGCTTGTGTGATTAATGTTACGAGCAAAATTGGAAGAGTTTCTGTGAAGGTTTACTAAAGCATTTGCCACATCACAGTGTCTACTTCACAAGCAGTTCGTGATTTGTGAGTCATGTTCCAGAAATAAAACAAATTAAGAGACACCGTAATTTACTAAAAGCATTGTCTTTATGCAATTATGCTTGCCAGGGGTCGTACATCAAGCTTCTTGTTTCAACTGTGAATAGGCATGATATAAAAGCTTGGCCAAGTAATATTAAGAGACAATATAATAAATTATAAAAATCATCACCAAAGAAATTTGCTATGATTTATGCAAAAGTACTTCAGACTGCAAAATCAAACGAGTTCCCAGCTTTCTTGGTTAGACAATAACGAAACCTGACTAAACAATACTTGGAGTCATGGCCAGTTCTGCAAGATAATAATGCACGTCCATGGTGAAACTTCCCCACTAACTGGGAATGTCAATAATAATTCCCATCAAAATAACATCAAAAGCGAAGGGCTTGTTAAACTTTCCTAGAATGTTTATTCGTAAAGTAAAACCAACCCCAGCGGGAGTGTAACAACCTGCTGACCATCATCCTCTCCTCCAGACAGCAGCCAAAGCAGCAATGTTGGCAGCATCACGAGGTTCCTATTCCCAACAAGAAAGATTAGTATCTCCAAACAGATGGAAATAAAAGTTGAGCTGATTCAGTTAAACACACAGTGACGCTTTGTCTACAGCTCTGCTTTCCCTGCACATTCACACTGAATCTTCAGATAAATTTATGCCTACAATACGCATAACAGGCAAAGATTTAGTATTTACAGAGAATATCAGCTTATTTCTCCACATAAGCTTCCACGCGGAAGAAAATAGAACAAAACGCCATCTTATTCAATTACATGACTACCATCTGAAACAAATCAACTCCTCCCCACACAATTTGCAAATGAAATTACAATAGATATATTGAACAACAAAAGGTGAGAAACTAAGAAAATCAAAATCACCTTAAACCACGGCCAATAAATCTCCTTAACTCAGCAGCACATTCTCCTGGACAGCCTAGCTCATGTGAAGGATCAGTCATGGGAGAAAACTGTGCAGACTGAAAGTGTACCTGCATTTGGCTTGTCCCTGTAAGGCTGAGCTAACGGAGATGTTACAAAAGCCATCACATGGGTCTGCCCTAGTTGCACCTCAGATGAAGCATCCTCTCTGCACCAACCCACAAAAACATTTGGCTGCATGAAAAGACGGAAAAAATATGACCAGGTTTGAACAGAGAAGAGTGTGCAAGAGAAAAGAAATTTAATTGCCTGCCAAACTTGATGGTGAGCTTGAGGTAGTCGAAGGGACGGCGACCATCCACTCGAAGCTCCGAAAGCAGAGCTGTTTCCCCGAACTTCTTTTCATTTAATGTCAAATTCAAAGAATTAGCCAACCTCTGCTCCATTTTACTCTAAAAATCAAAATATCAGGAAAAAATTGAATTAGAAAAGTAGTAGAACTTAGAGAGGGAAAAACCAAAAGAGTAAAAGAATGGTTCTCCGGTGAAGGACGTAAAGCCAGAGAAATGAAGTGGTTCTCAGCTCGCGTCTATTCCGGCGTACTTCTGGAGCGTTCACGTATTCTGAGAAAACATGTCCAAAAAATATAATGCATATGTCAATAGACAGGTCAGAATATTATTTGTTTATAAGCATATAGGGGCATGCTTGTGTTGTCACTCTTTTATACGCGAATACTGTATCCGGAATTTACCACAATACTCTTTCGATCCTAAATAAGACTCATTTTCTAATTTACATTACAAAACAAAATGTGCCTTGTATTTAGACGGAGTATTTTATGAAAGGTTCCTCTCTTCAGCTAGAGACATTGCACCAGAAACCAGAACACCGTAAAAAGTGGAGAGGAAGCTGATCAGGCTTACACGATCGAAGACCTAAGGAAGTAATACGAGACTGTGGAAGTGACGTCGTCTGAGCGGGTGAGACGAGACTGAGATTGAGTGAGATTTCTGCCCTTCTGCGCACACGGAGGTCGTCTTGACTCTGAAAGAAAAAGAGCTTATAGAGTTAACGAAGGTGGTCCGTTTTATAAGTAATTTTTTAGTAATTATTTATAGAATACGAGACGAGAGACAAGTATACGAGAAGAGTTGCCTCAACTCATGTAAAAAACGTAATTATAGAAAATTTCTTTAAGCCCTCCCAAACAGGCCCGTTGTCTGCCTGAGGGAAAGCGACTGTCTGAAGCGGAGCCGGAGAGCGGGAGTCACAGATGAGGATGGTGGTGGGCGAGGCGCCAATTAGAAGAGGGTGAAGGCGCCGAATAAGAGTGGGTTTTGCTGATGGAGAAGGAGGGGAGATTGAAGAAGGATTGGAGCAGCCAAAATTCCAGAGCAGATTTCTGTCGTCTGCTTCGTTTGGGCGGGTTTTGTGATGTCTCAAACGGCGGGAGAATTGAATCAATTAATTAAAAACTAGGCGCATGTAGGTAATTTTATACTCCGCCAACTCTTAAGACTTTTTTGTGGTGTGATTTAAATTAAAATATATGAAAATAACTCACAAAAAGTGAAAAAGAACATAAAAATCACTAAATTTTAAATTAGAAATTCTTATAAAAATATATTATTATTTGCATGTTAAATAATGTTAAAACTGCTAAAGTATAAAAAATAATTTTAGTAATTTTTACATTCTTTTTTTAAGATTTTTCCAAAAATATAAGTTAGATTTTGTTATATTAATATATAGAATTATACTATATATATATATATATATATATGAAAGGTATTTTTCTTTCTTTAAGTGGGAATTAATTTCATTTTAGTTTGAAATGCCAATTAAGTGCAAGAGCCTGAATAAAATTAAAAGGTTAAAGTCTCAAGAAAATATTTACCACAATTTTCGAATATTGACTCTTAAATGTTTGCTTGCTTTTCCTTTTAGTTGGGCTCTTTTTATCATTAGAATAAAGGTTTAAGCACGGATGGACACAGCCGCTGAGGGTGCTGCAGGAAATATGAGGATCCAGTAGTTTATTATCTTCTCAAGCGATAGCTTGCCCTTCTGATGCGATAAAAAAAGAATATAGGTTTAAGCTTTGAGAGTTATTTTTTAGGATGGAATGGCTTCAAGGTGTCTGGGATACTTTCTTTAAGGAGGGAACGGACTTGCTTTGGATGGCCTCTCACATGACCATTCTTATCTTAAACCCACTTTTTCCTGACTCCCAAACTGCGTGTCAAGGCTAAAATGACGTGAATTAGGTTACACAACTACAAAACTACACTAATTATCGTTTAAACAACGCAATGTTCATCGAAAATAGATAGTATAAAATAACAAGCACCTCATTATTGGCCGGTAGATATAATGCTTTCGCAAAAAAAATTATGTCCTTGATATAGAAAAGTCATAATAACAAGAAATTTAAATTACAAAAGAATTGGCAATGCATTAGCTAGAGTTACAGGAAAGTGTTTGCTTTACAATATAACTTAGCGTCGTACACACAATAGAACTTTTTTTTTTTTTTTTGGGATCGTTCCGCCATGTATTGTATACAATATCAAAAATAATTAACCTCCCACGCATCAAAATCAGGAAGCCAGTATATTTTGTGTTGCACATCAACTCCTATCAAAAGGTTGTACGATCCAATCTACGATTTTGCAGACTGATAGAAGTCACCCACGGTAAGAAACACATGCTTCCCAAGAACCACTTCTACAGCGGGTTGGTTTTCAATAGAGTCAACCATTTTCTACAACCATAAGATACACAAATTGAGAGCATTTCATATGTAAAAGAAGCGAAAACGCACTTGATTCCTCCAAATTTAAAGCCTCATTATTTTTTATTCGGGGGAAAACCATGTAATATTCAGTCTTTTCACCTAATCCAGATCTGAGTATTTGTCAAACTCAAAATAAAGGTAGCTCTGAGTGTTAGGGTCTCATTAACATTGAACTGAGATGCCAATGTACATACAAGAGGCCAAGTGAGGATTTAAGGATCACGAGGCCTCTTTTTGCATCATTCATCCCAAGTCAAGGTTCAAGGTTTGTTATACCTTGTTTCTTTTTAGGACCGAAAAAGGTTAGTTATACTTTACAAATGTATCAATTTTGTAGCTTCCCCCATTAGAAAACAGAAAACGGTTAATTTTAAACGAACCTTTCCATTTCCTTCTTGAAACTCGACCTTTAAATTTGAATGATCTCTTGATAAAAGGTACGTTTGTAGATTATGTCCGAATTTTGCTTCACCTGTAACCATTTAGAAGTACAGAAAGAAAGAAAAAGGGAAGTCAGAGTAAAACCAGTATGAAAGAGGAATGACAGGCAGAGAATACAAACCTGCAAAAAGTGAGACAATGGCTTCTGAATTAAACATCAGAGCAGGTCTCGCCAAGGTGATGCCAAATGACATGCCGGAAATCCCATAGAACTTCTCCTCACCCAGAACCACCTGCAGAACGTACAAAGAACTTCAAAATGGCATGGTTTGAACCTAAGGCACGGATAAAGTAGTTTTGTTTTCTGTCAGCTTAGCTGGACACAAGTTTACAGGCAACTTGTTTTTTTTTTAACCCCTTTAATGTTTCCATGTTAGACGCACCATAAAAAGAATCAACTCTCATAAGTTCACCCAGGGTTTCTATCATGATTACTATCATCCTCGATTGAAAAATTGTATAAAATTAAGTTTGACAAGAATTTTAATCAATGTTACACCATCCATCCACAAACCACTTTCCATGTTCGGTCTATGATAACTATGGTTTTTGAAACATGAACCACAACTGTTGCTCGAACAGCAACCACCAGCATCCCACCCAAGGCTCGAGCTCATTTAAACCAATGTTCCACTTTGTGCCGTGGCTGAGGCTAATACCAAGTGCACATGCTATTTAACAACCGTAGCTAAGAAAAAGAATGTCATGATTTCCATTGTAGCACCATTACTAGAGGCTAGAAATAGCATAAACCAATCATGGCATGAATGAACCAACAACCAGCAATATAAATAGACAAAGAACAAGGCAAGCTTAACATCGAATTCTAGAACAAACCTTGGCACTTTAAATATTTATGATGAGAAATTCAACCATAACCAAGCAACTAGAAAATATTACTCTTCTACCAAATAACCCCTTAATATTGCAGTAAAAGCACAAGGTGTAAGTTCCATTTCTACGTTATAGATCTTAATAAAATCAGATTAAATGAAAAAATTCTCAAATCTTAGTTCTAACATCAAGCAACTTACAGCATGTGAAGGCAGCATAGAATAAAAAAGCAAGGGAGAACCAATAGCATCTCTGATGTAGGATTCCTGCAAACATTATGATAAAAACAGGTCAAATGATGATATGTGAAAATTATATGCTAGCCAATGAGTGGCCCTTAGTAAAGCCAGTGCTGTGGTACGCAACAAAATAAACAAATCTTCAGGACTTCACATTCCATTTCATCTTCTGTGAATTGAAAGGTATAATTGCTTACAATTTTTTGTAGGAATTCACTCTAAATGTCATTTCTGCAATTTAGTTCTTCAATCTCCCATTAAAAACTCTAGTTACTGAGTGTCAAGGAATTAGACATGAATCCATAACTGTCAAGACGTGCAATGAAACTTTCAGTAATTTTTTCCATTTTGCTAATCTGAATATATAAATTTCTATCCATCGTTGGCCATTTATATATACAGTACAGATGAAATAGTTCAAGACATAAATTAATTATTTTTTCCAAGTTAACTCAGTTTGCACGTTTCATATCAGGACTTTGGGGGACACACAGGTTTAGAGTTTAGATTTGGAAGAATTACAATCAAGTCTCAAGGAAGAGATTTTACCCTAAAGCCTATCGACAAGTGAAGAGTAAACAATGAAAAGTTCTAGAGTAGGGAATGACAACATGTTCAACATGGTCACTTGTCATCAGGACTTTTTGGCAATTAAATTTCTTCTTTGGGACCTCTTGGTAATCCTCTCTTTAGATTTTAAGGTTCAGGACTTAAGTGTACTCTTCCTTTTCTGCTCAAAGATTTGTTTACCATTTTTTCCCTGAAAGAAAACGTAACATAAAGTGGAAAATCATAGTATTCTAATGAGTTGCTGATCTCTCAATTCTACCTGTGAGCGCAAAACTCTCTGAGAAACTGATTTATCTTCATCCAATGATTCAAAATAAACCTCCACCATGTCTGTAGGTTCGAGAGCAGATTTCTTCCGTAACTTCTGAATTCTGTTAACAATCTGCATGAAAAAATTTCACTGACAATGAATGCATACTTTTTAATTGAATTTTAGATTAATGCCATGAAGGTGAAATAAGAAGTTGGTAAAGACAAAAATATAATGAAGACACTTGTTTACGTATTTTGTGAAAGTACAATAAATTTCTTCTAGGATGTGAGAATTGCATGGAAACCAAATCAATCAAACTTTCTTAGTCCTTTCACTTGAGATATCACTAATAGAAAACACCAGGAAATGCCAATCTGCCACAACAAAAAGGATGAACAAGATCCTCACAACTTCAACATTTCTTGAGTACTCGACACCATAATAAATAGTACTGCATCTCAAAACTTCTCCCAGCCGTTAATTGCGGCATAAAGTGAAACCCCTAATAGTTTTAAATCATCAAAGCACAAATCAATACCTCTAAAAAAATGAACCCACCACGATTTTGGTTTACAAAAGCACCAATCCAACACCATAGAAAACGTTACTGAAGGCTTACTTTTCTCTACCCCATACGAAATATTACCATGTAAAGAATAAAATCAAGAGGATGCTTTGGACTTTTTTTTTTTTTTTTTGGCCAAAGCATAGGTATTCTCCTGTTGGAGGCAATCATGTTTGAGATACTATCAGGCACTAAATGTGGGCACCTCTCTCAACGAGAATTCGAACCTTAGTTTGCCATGTTGTGAGGGACTAGCTCCTTCTGCTAGACCTAACCCCTGTTGGTTGCTTTGGAAATTCTTGACAAAGGGAGAGTTGTGTTATATTTATAATACAGTGATGGTTAGCTGGATGGACTGAGATATAAGCAATGTGGTTTACCTAAAGAAAGAAAGATACACACATGCTAACCTAATAAACTGAAATTTAGCTTAATTAGGAAGTGACGGCAGCATGCATTAATGTAATTCAATCCCTTCCAACCATGCGTGTTCAGACTTAGATAAGGCCTACTCTAGCTCAGGCTTTTAATATATACAAATAAACTTTGAGTAATGCAGGCAAACAAGATGCGGTAATATTCAAGAGGCCCATCATTTTACAAATAAACATGTCAAGAAATATGACATGAAGCCAAGAGTATGAAGACGAAGCAAGCACTGTAGACGTTCATGGTATGCATTGTACCTCACGAGCAGCACCAGCCTCAAACAATGACTCGTCAGGACGCAAATCCAGTATCACTAAAACATCACCTAGAACAAAAACAACTGTGTCAGTCAAAGATAAATCAATATAATATTTGACAGACCATTATATCCTACAACTTAGCTCAGTTTCAAAAACAGGGCTTTCTTAGATGCAGGAAAAACCATCAGCAATAATTAAAGATTCTAACCATCCCCTGCCGCGTCAATTTCCTTCTCTGTCATGCCATCAGGGCGTTTAAAATCACGAAGAATCTGTATAAAAAGAAAAGAAAAAAAATCTATTTTAATGGTCTCCATCCACTTCAGATCAAACTCATTATACGGCCACAAAAACAAAAACCGAAACCCATAATTCCTTGGATGCTTCTAGACTGAATTTTTACATGCCTAAAATTCTTGAATCAACATCTACAACTCAATTTATATAGCAAAGCTTGACAACCAAAGAAAATACTCCAAAAGAAGTCATCCAAGACCACACATTCTTAAAACCATAGTTAATTTTAATTGAGATTATCCACAAATTTCGTATACCTAGTTACCTACCACTGATCTTCTAGAACCAAATTATTTTGAAAGCCATAATGTCCTTCATAGTAAGATTACATTATACAATGTAAACCAAATTAAATGGCTGCATTGAGGGAAAACGGGAATCATGACTAGAAGATTGGCACCTTAATATCAGTCTGCTTCAAACAGTGATTTGCAATTATAACTTCCCCACTGTTCTCAAAAGCCAAAATATTTTCCTGGGACATTGATTTAATCTCTTTGGCAACAATGCCCATAGATTTTCCAAGTCGCTTGCCAAGTATGCTGCATTGTTTAAAAAATAATAATAATAATGATATAATGACTAGCAAAATTATCTCTAAGAACACGGCTTTGCTAGGAAGCAATAACAAATGCCTACCTGAAATCAGGTTCAGCACGCAAAGATGCATACTTCAAAGTATCATTACATGGTACAAGTGATCGTACATTCAGTTCCTCCAAGACATACTGCAGCACATAAAGAATAAATACATTTCAAAATCCAATTTAATTCAGTCCGGAAGCCAGAAGAATCAGGGCATGGTTTGGATAGGGCTATTGACATCCAAAAACTTCTTTTGGCATACCATCTGAAAGCAAATGTTGTTTGGGTATCTATTACGCCAATCTGAAAGTCCACTTAAAATCCATATCAAAGTTCAAAAGCAGCCATGGGTTGCTTTTAACTTTTGGAATGTAGGAGTTGGGGCCTTTGGCAGATTCCCATATTACCGAAGCCAAGTCATATATTAATACTTTTACATAATCCCATATAGATAATTAAAACACAAAATGTAATACCTCTCTGAGCTTTCCAGCCATGTCCTCGAGAAAATCAGCATCAGGATGGACTATCACCATTTCCCTGTGGTGACCAGGAATACGATTAGGCATCTTGCTTTAAATAAAGATACGTGAGTGTCGAGAAGGGAGAGAGGGGAGGGATTGGCCACAGTGAGTGCAACTGAGACATCTATGCAAGTGTGAAAAGTGACATACCTAAGGGGTGCTTTAAGAGGCCTGTTATGACGCTCACGGATGTTTCGAGCAAGATCAATTATAGTCATCATCCTTGAAACACTTTGTTCAATTCGTTCCCCCCTCTATGACAGTCACGCAGAAAAGATAAGAGCTAATGCAATTTATGATATGATTTCTATGTAACTAAGACAGCTAAAGCCAGAACAAGAAGAGCTTCCAAGAGAATCGAAGTTCCACAAATGATCCAGCTAAACTGTTCATTTCTACCAATGTTCTCAAAACTAGAACAAACCTACAGGCTCAACCAATAAACTGGAGAATTGGAACCCAGTTCAGTCTAGAATGCCTCCAAAGCCAGTTTAAACAAAAATTAGTAAAACCAGTCAAAAAACAACTAAAACTAGCAAAAACTGATCAAGAACCAATAATTAGTTTATATAATATATTTATATTAAAGCTACGTTATGGAAAATCTGATCATGGTTTGACCACAATTGGACCGATACATCTTGAAATGACCTCTCCAATTTTAAAAATATTGATTTCTATTTCATAAAAAGCACTTATGATCAAGTGTTAAAATGTTGTTGCCATAAGTGTACTAAAATTCTCATGGACGCCTGTTTATTTAGTCTTCATGTGAGTCTCTGTTTCTGAGCTCTTACGAAGTCAATGTCTAGGCATGTTTGCTTTGCTCTAATTAATTTATCATCAGTGAATCCTTAAATAGTTCAAAAAAAAAACATGGTCAGAGCAGAGGCCAATTATTGATAAAAACTTATGAAATTGACTCTATTAGGTGAAGGTTCAATCAACTTTAGCAACTTCCCTACATATTTCAATTCAAACTTTTCCAAAATTGATTTGGATTAAGTCCGCCAAAAAGTCCAACAGCCTTATAGGTAATAATAAACATGATTGTCGGAAAAGCCAATGATTGAAATCTAGGTTGCCAGAAGTGTGATTGGCTGTGAAATCTGGGATCAATTTGATCAGTGATGGGTTGTTCCATTTTTCTTGACTTATTCAGTTGGATTTTTACATATAGGTCCGTTTGATTGCAGTTAAATTACTCAGATTACTGGCTTTCAATTCAAGAAAATTTTTAGCTTTGATAAGTTCTGAAAAATTTTGTCTGATGAACAAATATGAGGAAGAAGAGGCTTTTCTCTTCTTCTTTTTTTTTTTTTTCTCATATTTCAAAGCTTCCATTCCGATTATTTTTCACACATACCAAGCAAAAATCATGTCAAGATTCCATTCAATTCTTCTGTCATGCCAAACATACTTTCAAACCCCATTTCCATTCTTTTTCCTGTTCCCATTCCCTTTCCCTTTCCCTTTCCTGTTCCAATTCCATAAAAAATGTTTCCAATGAACCAAATGGGGCCTGAGTCCTTGGTAGTTGTTAAACTAGATTTGGAATACAATTTTTTTTTTCTTGCATCTAGACTTGGAAACTTAGAATAAATTAATTCATAGGAACATACCTTTCCTTCTTCTTGAGGAAAACTGCAATAATGTATACTTTCCTCAGAACCATTGCAGGCTTTCCGCATATTCTGATAGAGTACCTCAGTGAAGAAGGGTGTAAATGGAGCCATTACTTTACAGGCCACCAAAAGAACCTGAGCATAATTGACGTGATTTTAAATCTGGTTTAAGTACACATCACTACCCAACAGGAAGCACTTAAGACTATTTATTACCATGATGAAAATAGAAGATACCATAGACATACATTATAAAGAGTCGAGAGTGCTGTCCGGCAGTCATCTTCTCCAGTGCGACCTTTTAGTCTCTTGCGGTTGAACCGCACATATATATTTGTAAGGTTATCAAGAAACTTGAGAAGATATGGCACCACCTACAAGAATTTTCAATATTATGATAATGCTTTAGCATATGCGTAGCATAAAATGATGAACATATAACACATTTAGAAAACAACACAATCAAATTAAACAGTGGGAAGAAATCACACACACACACACACAAAAACAATTTTGATCATGGCAACTGAAGATTGGTTGAAAAAAACAACAGAACTAGTTACTCAAAGCTCTTTGATAGACAAAATATAATTCAGATTAAATCTAGAATTAATAACATAAAAATTATAAGCTTTTCCCTCTCCAAATATAATTTACTTGGAAGTCCTGAAATAATAACATCCAGAAATATCTTGTATGAGATACCTACAACGCACATTCTAAAATCATTTCCATGGTAAGTTAGGTTACTAATAGATCCCAATCTATTCCTGAGAAAAACCTAGCTTGGCTAATGCTCTGTAATATTATTTCAAAATGCCAATAATGCCCATGCATTATTTCAGGTCGATGTTCTTTGTCTCACTTTTTCTCCTCCTTTCAGCATTTTCAATGCCCTTATCCTATCCTCTGACTTTGTATCTTTTCCACTTGAGGTAATTGATTCTTTTACCCTAAAAATCATCATGCATGAATCATCAAGAAATTACGAGCTGTCCATATTAAGTGCCAACTTCATTGCCAGATTTAAAATCTTAGAAGGCGATAAAACAATGCACCATCACATGCTTAACAAATGGCATGCACCTTAAATTCACCAAGCTTTCTCATATAGACAACATATGTAAAAGAAAAGAAGCGATAATGACATGCATTACATAACATGTCCTCAAAAGTGAACATACATAAAATCCATTACCATTTTATAGCACAAAGCATATGGCAGAAACAAAGAAACGAGGAAATTCCAGAAACACATAACTGACCGTGTAAAGTCGGTAACCATCCATTTCTTGGCGGACAAAATGAACAAGGCTCTGTGTTGCTGAGTTGATCCATTGATCAAGAACATTAGATGACTTTTGAAGTGTAGACTGATCAATAGGGACAAAAGGAGCTAGCCCCTCAATTTCAAGTCTCTTTGCATTTTGAACAAGGAACCTGTAAGCATTATACCAAGGTAGGAAAACATCTCTAACCTGGGACAGTTCAATACAATACAAATAAAAGGCCCAGTCGATAAGTACAATTGAATAAAATGGATTCAATATAAATAAAATCAAATGAAAAGACAACAAAAGAAGTTAATGAAAATTAAATAACAGCTGGACAATACTGACAACTCCATAAACCCCATCCTTCTTGAAACGCAGAGTCTCAGCACGGACAACAGGAGAGTTTATAAGGTACAGTCGCAATGCATCCTGTAAGAGAGTATGAGAAAATATCATGATAAAACATTTAAGATTAAACAAATCAACAATGAAGTTGCTTTCCCATTACCTAGAAAAGCAAGTAAAACATGAATCTTGACAAAATGACATTACGTGTAATATAACAAATAACCAACTAAATAAACTGAACTAATTGGGGGATGAACAAAAACATGATCATGACAATCTTACCGCTCCATAATCATTGATGACTTCCATTGGTGAGGGATAATTTTTCAAGCTTTTACTCATTTTTTTCCCATCTTCAGCAAGGACAAGTCCATTGCAAATCAAGTTCCTAAAGGCAGGCTTTCCAAATAAGGCAGTAGCCAACACCATAAGGGTATAAAACCTGCATAATGAAAAGAAGAAAATAAATATGAACAATTAACTTTACTTAAGTAAGAGAGAAGTGTTCAGTGGCAGATGAAAAAGGGAGGGGAAAAAAAAGCACTTCAGAAAACGTGAAAAGCGAGTTATGTACTCATCGAAGACTTTAAAAATGTGTGATAGATGAGAAAGTTCTGCAATTCATGCTCAACAGCATAAAAATACCTAAGCCAGAGTTCATTAATTTATCATACACAAACAGGGATAAACGATTGTATTATTGCTAAAACAGATTAATTTTTGAAGTAACTTCCTCTAATCTGCCAAGCAATAAAATCAAGCAATTCTTCAAGCCAAAACAAATATACTAGAAATTCCATTTAGAAACAAAAAATTATTTATGACACAACAATAATGAACTAGCTTAAAAACAAAAGGGGAATGACATTTGAGGACAAAAAGAGAGAATTAATCCCATTTTAGGACCATAAGATTGGAAAATCCCAAATTGGGACCAGATGTCCTTTAACTATTTGAGCTCTACTACAATAACTTTGTACTATAACAACCACATTATTCATTTTCCTATTATAAAAGAGGAATAAGAGTTGAAAATTCATAAGATGGTGAAACTGACCATCCACGAGTTTGATCTAGTCCTTCAGCCACAAAATGTCCTGGAAAATTCTTCTCAAACAGCTCTATATTCTCAAAAGGATAATGGATATACGCATACGGCATGGAGCCACTCTCAAACCAGCAGTCAAAAACCTGAAAAACAAAAAATTGATATATAGCGAAGAGCAGGGCACTAAATTGATATAAGGTATTGAGAGTCTAGATAACTGACATCATATTAAATTTGTGTATTTATATTAACATGACAAGACATGTTATAATTTGAAACCTGAAGAAAAATATAACATCACAACAAAATAGCACAGCATCATGCAGCCAGAAAATCATAAATTAGCATTCTTACATCATCAACCCGTCGAAGCACACCATATTCTGGACCACGTTTAGATGGAATTGTGATATGATCAATGTTGTGACGATGAAGATCAAAGACCTGAATAAGCATTAAAATGATACACAGTCAACATTAAAAGTTTAGAAAACAATATGAAATCAAAGTAATTGTGCACCTAAACAAGAAAACATGTAACTTATGTGAAGAGAAAATTCTTTAACAAGACCAAAACCTATACATCTGAACAATAAAACCTACTAGCTATACAAGAACATTGCTATTTCAAAAAAAAAAAATGAAGAGAAAATCCTAACCTTTACACCAGAAAGCTTTTCAAGTTTTGCAACAGAATCCATGATAATTTTTTCCTCTTCATCCTCACTGATCCATATTGGAAGAGGGGTCCCCCAAAATCTACTACGACTAATTGCCCAATCTCTTGCATTTTCCAGCCAATTGTGGAATCGCTTATCCTGTATCAAGAAGGAATATTAGAAACATTCACGAAAACAATGAATTACATTATATACAATTCAATCATTTATAACAAAAGACATTGATCTATTTAATTAGGAAGTTTCATAAACCAATTGTAGTATATGACGCAATATTATTTTATGCCAAAAGAGTCGCATTAAGAAAGAGAAGAGGCACAAATAAGGATAGCATTCCTACAGGGCAAGAGGATCAATAACAAAAATAACATAAGTAATTGTTCTGCAAAGTTTCTAATATGTGATGGAGTAGAAGTTTCAACCAATGATCTTCTGCAAAGCTTCCAAAACCCTTTGCATATTTAAAAGTCACACCCCCTTGAAATAGCTGAGCAAAATACCAATGAATCCCAAACTAATTCCTTTTCCAAAAGGAGGTCCGAACATGGGAAATATAGCCACTTAAATATGAGCATACCATTTTAGCCAAACTTTACAAACCATAACAGGCAAATGCCACACATTGCTACAAAGTTCTACCCTCCTCAGTTCCACCTATAAAATTCCCTCTTTAATATGTTTATCTAACTGTTACGAATACCTGAAAAGAATGTTTATTCCTCTCTCTGCATATACAACAGTTTAAAATTCTCAATTAATTACAAGAAATAAACGTAGTCAAGTACCATTACTAATCATTACAACACATAATTTTGTTGCATTATAACAATAAATAAAAGACGAAAGCCCTCTCAATGATGAATGAAAAAAAATCAGAAAAACATCATTTGGTAAGCAATACTATACCTTCACAAAATCTGGAACCCAATAAGTCTGCCTGTTATTTTCCAACAATTGCTCTTTCAACTTCTCCACTTGAACAAACCTAACATGAACAGAAATAAAGTATCAACAGTGCAGTGGCCAAAGCAAATTAAAATCAATATCAAAAAATAAACAAGATTTGCTGATTCAATATTACAAAAGAAATATTTAATAGAAAGAGAAAATTACAACAGATAAGGATTAGTGAGTCTCATAAAAGAGAACAAAATCAAAAAGGGCTAAACATTTGAGTTTAAACAAATATAATTGCGGTTTAATCCTCCTTCACATGAAAGGGTGTATTCTGGTTGTTATCTACCTTTCATTAATTGAAAAAAGCTCCTTTAGAGCTCTTTATTTGCTCGTCCAAATTGCCACCTGCTGAAATTCATTCAGTTCTATTCAAGTAGAACTTTCTGTGTACTACTTGCTGAAATTCATTCAGTTCCATTCAAGTATTTTCACATTTCAGACTATGACAATCAAAAAAAGGACGAACACTAATGACATGATGCAGAATCAACAGCCCACGAATTATTGCAAGAAAACATGACCGCTATAGCTCCAAAAATAAGTGAGGCAAACAGAAATATTGATGAGACATGCTTACCAGCTAGGAACAGCTCTGTAAATTAGAGGTGTCCCAGATCTCCAGCAAAATGGATAAGAATGCGTAAAGGTTCCAAACTTAATTAGCCTACCCTTTGCCTAAAAAAAAATAAATAAATAAGCATCCAAAGCTGTAAGGAAAAAACACTGACTCTCAAGAATTAAAACCAACATCACATAATGTCAAGCTTTATAATGGATAATTATTTTACTATAAAAGCAGGAGGGTGAAATATAATAATAACTCATAAATAGTCCTCTATAGTGTATCTTCCAAGCACACAAGAAGAGAAGAGCTTAAAGAAAGAAAAGAATCAATTCAGAGAGTTACAGCCAAATATGCGTGCCTTCACATCACTAGTCAATGTAATTGAACTTTCATCTAAAGAATGTGACGCATCCAACCCAATCAATAGAAAGAAGGGATTCTCTTAAAATTCCATTCCTCCAAAGTTTACACATTCATCATACTCCTCTCCTTTTACACAGTAAATCTAATTGAACTTCATCTAAAACACTTCTTGCGTTGCACCATTGAACAGCTCTTTCATTTTAACAATGATACTTCATAAAATCATGCTAATGGTTTGATGGAAATTCAATAGCCAGAAAGCACTTTCTTTGGACATCACCAAACAGCTCAAAATCCATCATTTGGTTTTGCAGTGCCCTGTAATAAAAAACTATATATGTGCTACAAGCCAATATGCCAATTATTCCCTTTATTTCTTCTTCCTTTCCCGTTGCCCTCAACCTAAATTGTGAAGCTGATCGAGAATGGATATGTTAAATGAGTTTGAATATTCATCAAAATAAGTTAGTTCCAATATATGATACAAGTAATAGACCATTTGAAACGAAAACATTATATTCAGCGAGTTACACAATAACCTTAACCAATAACACAAATTTGAAAGCAACATACATAATTCAGAATTCAAATAGGCCTGAACAAGTTTAGACACGTAAAACAATTTTAATGACATAGTTTTAATGTATAGAACACACCTTCACAGCTTCAACAATATCCTTATCTGCATCTTTGATATAGCGGCCACTAAAGTCGGTGATTTTGGCAGTAAAGCAGCCATCATCATCGACAGCAACAGTTAGATTCTCCTACAACAACATGAGCATTACAATCAAGTCCAGCAGAAATTTACTGATAGTTAAACCCAAAAGGGGGGGGGGGGAAGACCAGCAGAAATTCTGTAAAAAGATCTCAGCTACTTGAAAAGGGAAAATGCATCAACATAAACAATCATCACTACAGACAGGGCAGAGAACAAGGGAGAATTACAATCAAGTCCCAAGACAGAAAAATAATTACTAATAAGGCCCAATAACAATCTAATGACAAGTTTCAGAGTAGGCAATGATAACTTCTGGGACTTGTTAATTATTTTTCTTCCTTGGGACCTCATTGTAATTTTCCCCAGAGAATAATTGACATCATCACTAGAGACAGGGCAGAGAATAATTGAAGATAAGGCAGCAAGGTAACCACAAACATGATGGATGGTAGGTTCAGGTTATCAAAAGCATGGTGACAAATGACAAAGGGATTACAGTTTAAGAGATTGGAAACTAAGGTTTCAATAGAAAACTAAAGGCAAAAATGCTGCTGTTCAAATGATTATTTTAAGTAAATGGAAGGTCAATTAGCGCGCAAAAAGATGAGGCAGTAGAATTTATATAGATGTTGTGAAGACTCTTACTAGGAGTAGAAAAACCTAGGATTTGATTAGGTACATTTTATGTATTATTAGTCATCTTTATTTTAGATTCGAAGGATTTGCATTATGTTTACAATAAATTTAGTTTGGATTAGGATTTATGGATTTATCCTACTATCCTATCATCCTATCTTATATAGGCATTATCTTATTTAGGATTAGGATTGTAAATGTTTTATTATCCTTTTAAATAATTGTACTTAGGGCTCTATAAATAGCCCTCAGGTTTCTCAATTGTTAGACTTTTTAATGTCACTAATTGTTATACCTGTTTGACGAGTTAAATAATTAAAGAAAGTTTGGGTTTTCTCAGTCTCTCCCTTGATTTCTCTCTGGTTTCTTTGTCCTTTCTGTCTATCTCGCCCTCCCTTGCAAAGCAACTACAGATTTGATTTGGCAGGTGAAATCCTCATGCTGTCAGCCAATAATATCAGGACAGGAAGCAATAGCATACAAAATTAGAGAAAACAAACTAGTATCTGAAACAAAGATAAACCTAGGGTTTGACTGATCAAACAACCAAGAAGATAGAAATTCATTGAAGGTCATGTAACTGGACATTGAGTCTGAAGACAGGGGGACAAATTACAAATTTTTAGCCAGCTCTCATAACATATCCGACAATGACAATTGTTAAAGACCCTGTAAATATCTACAATTTCAAAATTAATAACAGCCACCAAAGCAGATAAGCAAGACTCAGAAACTCCTGAACAACATCAATAAAAGCCCAGTAATAGCCAAAGCCCAGGTCTCCACAAAAGTTCAGTAAACAAATAAACCCCACAAAAGTAAACACACACCCCTGACTCCACAGCCATAATTATACAATCTCAATTCAAGCACCAAATAGCACAGAACCACAACACTTTCATTCAACAGTTCCAGTGAAAAATAGATTCAGGCTTTGCATCAGAATACAAACCTTCCTAAGAATTTTATTATCAATACAAACACGGAAATCATCTTCTCCAAAAGCAGGAGCACAATGGACAACGCCAGTACCGCTGTCATCAGTAACATAATTGTCCGCAACAACTCTAAAAGCAGTGTCAGCTAACTCCATAAAGTAATTGAACAGTGGTTCATACCTGTAGAATATGTACTTTAGAATTTACATAGTCAACAAGAACCCATTTGCAATGATGCCATTTCTTCAGCATCAAAAGAGAAAATATAAGAGGGACTAATTTGAAGATAAGGTGATAAATTATAAGATGCTGGATGGATTAGGCAACAGAATAGTCTGTAATCGTGAATAAGAACAAAATGCTATTTAATTACATTAAAAATTTGACTCTGACAAATGCACGAGCACAAGTAAACTGTCAAGAGGCTAATTCAAAAACAAAAGATGCATATTAAAGGAAGACTGCTCACTTCTTTCCTACTAGTGAAGCCCCTGACAATTTGTCCAGCACTTCAAAAGAATCCAAAACATTTTCTGTCTTTCCACTTGATGACCCTTTAGTCTTTGCATTTGCTTTTTTGGGACCATCAACCGATCCATTAGTGACAGTTTCTTTGGGTTTCTCCGTAGGAAGTGAAATTAGACGTGATTCAGCAACAATATAAACTTTACCCGAATATTTATTGCGAACCTGTATTTTGATCCACAAATTAGTTGTCAATTAACAAAGTACATCAGAGAGGAGAACAAGAACGGTAAAGGTTTGTGAAAGCAATATAAAAGTCTTGCATCTAGTATACATGTGACGTACAATAATGAGTCAATGACAAAATGACACAAGTAGATAAGCAGCAACACAACTTACATCTCAATTTAATCATGCTATAAAGAATAAAGTCCATGTTTTGATATTTGCTAATCATTCTCAATGTTTCAGTGAATAACACATAATTTCTCTCCCAGCCTTCTCTTCTAAGTTTTTACCACCTCTCATCCAGCGCAAAAACAGGGGAGAAATCCACTTTCTTCAAAAGCCTACCATCTTATATAACATTGCAAGTGTTCAATCCAAACGAGCATTATTCCCCCTCAAAGAAAAAAAAGCACGCACTGAAATTATAATCAGATTATTATTTTGGATCTCCTCCCTCCTCTCTCTCTTATACACACACATAATCTCAAAACACCACCATCTACATTATTGTGTCAAATCCCCCCAAAAAAATTAAATTACAAATTAAAAAAAAAAAGCATCAACGAATGTGCTCATTTGCTGTTTCTACCAGGCACAATTCTCTGTATCCATTTATGTCAAAGTTCTTCACCATTCAAGACAAGATGAAACATCATCATGAAAGCTTTGGCCCGTAGTACTAGCTCAGGAGAGTACCTAAGGTGCTGGCTTTCCCACCATTGGAACACAGCCATTGTAATTATAGTTGTAATGAATCTGCCACAAAATCCTAATTTTGATAACTAATTGCAAAAGGATCTAAAATCCAAACTTGGGCTTGTGACGTCAATCATCTATTTTTCATCTATTATCTTCAGTAGGAAGTTCTGTTTTTTAACTAGTTTGGGAGAGTAAAAATGCAACCTTTGACAAATTAAGAGCAACAAGATAGTCTATCTCTAACAGAAAGTTAATTGACCTTCACATAGGTAAAGTCAGCATTAACGCAAAGAGCGAGATTGCTTGGAAGAGTCCATGGAGTTGTTGTCCAAGCTACAAATGATGCATTATGCAGATCACCAATCACCGGAAATGACACTAATACTTCAGGATCAGGTACATCCTGCTCCAATAAAGAATTATAGGTATCACAAGAATTAAGAGAAATATATGTCATCTGATAAAACAAACAGCTGAGCTAAATCATTAAAAAAAAAAAGACTGTGTTAATAGATGAAGTTTTTGAGCCAGTGGACAGTGACATCTTTCAATCTCTTCAACATGTCCCCACAACATAGAGTACATTAAGTTTGAAGCTTAGATATAGCACATGCCCCCCATAACTTGATGGAAAAAATAATTTGAAAAAAAAATTGAAAACGGTCAATGATAAAGATGCATCATTTGCCAAAGAACAACTGACCCAGAAAACTCAAGCTATTAGTTGAGGGGAGATCATGACTCTTACACCTCCAATGAAAATAAATAACTACCCAAAATAGGTCATATTATAAAAACAGGGTACAGATAGAAATGTTAGCCACATCAACGATGATGTGATAGCAATATCTTCATCGAAATAAAAATATTTTAAACAAAATAAAAATGACAATAGTTAGCGAGTGAAAAAATTCAATATCCATAATAAAAATATGCAAAAGTATGAAATTGCTAACCTTGTAATTTTGACCAGCCTCAAAATTAGATAATGGTGTTTTGCAACCAGTGCTATAGGGCATGACCTGGAAGAATAACACAAATACAGCACTTAGCTGGTGAGAATGAAGACAAAAAATGCAAAAGGAAAACATTAGAATATTTTAAAAGTCAGTTTGTAATCAAAAAGGAAAAAAACAAAGTAAAAAATGAAAGAAATTATAATTCATCATAAGCATGAGATATTAAAAAAAAGGGAACAAATTACAATCACCTCCCTCATTTTAAGTTTTGTAAGCACTTAGTGATTGCAACCACATTGAATTAGGCTGTTGGGAGTTTCTAGAAACTGCAGATAAGATACTCTAAGAACCATGATCTTAAGAGAGGTAGAGGTTTCTGTATAAATTGAAGCTTGAAAAAATGTGAATGCAGGTTTGGTGAGAGGTAAATGTAATTTACTTTAGACCAGTCATAATCATGCTAACCTAATAAACAACGCTACCCTTGATTATAACCTCCAAGAAAATCCAAATACATGGTGCATTCATTGTACTGGCGTAACGCAATACAAACTACCACTTGACTGCATTTGGCAAAATGATATGCAAAAGGTACAAAAGTAGCCCCACAGCAACAACTTTGAAATACATCGTTACGTGGCATATATTAATGTTATAAATAATAGATAGATAGATTAGATAGGGTTAATCTTACATGAATATTAGGATAAGAACTTAGAATTAGGGCTGACTCATCAGTTTTGCAGTCGGCTTTCCACTTTAGTAGATGAGACCTTCAGAATATTCCAAGATAGGGTTTTATTATCTATATATGGTTGCTCCAGTGTGCTGGGACTGGTTTCTGGTGTGTAGGAATCAATTTTAAAAGCTTTTTTCAGTGTTTTATTCTTCTCTTCGTATTATACATTGTGCTCAATCCCAAAATTACATCAGCAGAGGGTCCTATTCTTTACGAGGAACTTCAATTTAGTTAAACTAGACTTGCAATTCAGCAACTAAAGCTATGACGTAACACATTAATGAGAAACCTCATAATCGTTAATCATGAATATGTTGCAAAACTGAACATCATGATCCACATCAAGTGCGCAGGATAGACAAATTGTCGCAAATTGAAAGCAGAGGGTTGACAATTCTCTAACTTTAAAGGTGTATAAGTACCAGCCCAGAGCCCACAGATTGCCAATGAGCAAAAAGCAAAATGTAATGAAAGAGCCAATAAAAACTTGAATAAGAAAAAGAATCACACCAAAATCATCACTACCCCATTTATACCGGTGCCACGCAAAACGAAACCTTACCTTGAAGCTTTTGTAGACAAGGCCCTTCTCGTAGAGCTGGGCAAAGACCCACCAAACAGATTCCATGAATTTGAGGTCCATTGTCTTGTAATCGTTTCTGAAATCAATCCATCGCCCCGTGCGTGTAATAACCTCCTCCCACTCCCCAACGTAACGGGTTACAATACTCCTACACTCCTCATTGTACTTGTCAATTCCCATTTTCAACACATCTTCTCTCTTCTTAATTCCTAGCTTCTTGTCAATCTCATTCTCCACAGGTAAACCATGACAGTCCCAGCCAAAGCGTCGGGTGACATGATGACCCGTCATGGTCTGGTAGCGGGTGACAATGTCCTTAATGGTGCCAGCAAGTATGTGGCCATAATGAGGGAGGCCCGTCGCGAAGGGTGGACCATCGTAGAAGATGTATTCAGGATTGTTAGCGGAGCGAGCTAATTGGGTCTTGAATGCATCGATATCAGACCACAGTTCGAGTATTTTCTCCTCTTGTTTGGGGAAGGAGAAGTCTTTACCTTCGCAAACGTCATCCATGGCAACCTGGAATTCGTTTCTGCAGAGCTAATTCAAATCTGCGAAGTGAGACTGTGAGCTGAAAATAAACGCTGAGCCGCCGCCGCCAGAGCCTTCCAAAGCTGAAAGTGCCGCGGAGGTTTTTGCTTAATAACGCGGGGGGCGAGCTGATTGACGCTGCAGTTGACGGCGCCGAACGCTACGTCAAAGAATTGAACGGTTAAACCTAGTAAATCGTTTGCTCCGGGGAGAAAAAAATGAAAACAAAAGTTAACGGCAATTTTTTCCAAAGTCCTTCTTTTTAATCAAAATAATGGAATAAAAAAAATTATCAAGTTGACAATTCGAGGCGTGGAGACAAAGCTATAAATCACAAATTCCATTCGAACATTATTAGAATATGAATATTATGAATGGAAGTTGCATTATAAAAAGGAAAGGGAATATAATTGAAATGCAACTCTTTCAACTTAATTTTTTATCATCCATAAAACCTAAAATCTTTGTTTAAAGCAAATTGAATCCATTCTTAAAGTGATATTCAAATTGATTGTGCTTGGATAACTTTTACAAATTAAGAATCAGCAAAGCAGAATCTGAGATTGAAAATGTACAAAAGAAGCTTTGTAATAGAACTAGTTTTAGTGCATACTACTTAATTGCTACAGTTAGTAAGATTTACACTGTTTAAAAACAACTTCAACTGTTAGATGGAAAATTTTCAGCTGATGATTTTGAAATAAAAATATCAATTTTTAAAAAACTACCCATCTTTATTTTAGATTTTGTATGCCTAAAACATTCTTTTTTAACATAATTTTTAAAAAAATAATCTAAATCGTCCAAATTACTGTAGATCGGTGGCGACTCGTTATTCATGCTCATCAGCACCAAAAACCCACTCCGTTTATGAAGTCTCTTCAATCGTATTTATAAGGCCTTATGAAACTGTCGCTGTTCACAAATCAAGCCAAACTAATATCCAAACACACAATTAGACAGTTTCTATTGCTATGAGTTTGCATATTTCGCATCTAATTATAGGTGGAAGTAATAAAGCATTAAAGCTATTCTTTCCACTGTACGCAACTGAAAATATATCGTTATAACATAGATCACTTCAACAAGGTCTTATTCTGGGAAGACATGGATGCTAGTATAGGTATGCCTACAGTAACAGAACCCCACAAATATTCATGCGTAAGAGAAGCTTGATGACTATTCTGACCAAAAAAAACCATAGGTCACTGACATCCTTATACTCCAAAAAGGGCAGTTCTATTTCTATGACTTCATGAACTGAGACCAATGCTAAGCAACTTTTGTACAATTCCTCATAGTCAAAGGCCGCTTCTATCAAGACCAAGGCGCTCGCTGCAGAAGCTCGATGGCACAACGGACAGCCACAGCCGCCCAGTCCATTCCTCTCCCGGCTTCAAAGTGAGAGGCTTCTCGATCACTGCCCCGTCGACACAAAGCATCTGCTTATACTCCTCGTCTCCAAAGTCGGCCATTGATTTTGATTTCTTATCCCATGGGTTCCATACAGCTGCACAGAGGATATAGGAAGTCTATAGAACTTGAAGGGATAGTATTGCAGATTATAATAAAACAAGTCATAGAATTGATTGTTGACATCACAATAAGGTTATTCATGAATCTTCACTTAATAGCTTCAGATTTTGGTTGAAGTGGGTTCCTGACAGATAGTATAATCTTGGGGATAGGATTCAAAACCATAGTCACATTTGAAGACAACATGATCTTGATATGTGCAGGTGCTGGCCAAATATATATTGTAAAGGTCGTTCAGATTAGGTGGTCAAATGAGACGTCTTGCTCTTTCTTTTGTCGTATGAGTATGAACAAGTTTTACTAGCTGCATAGCTTACCAACATCAGGGAGGCCTTCCTTTCTTATCACAAATGTCCTCTTCCTCTCATGATCTAGGACGGCTATTACATTTGGAGAGCTAGATAGGCTCGATCCACCTGCCATAAGAGATGGGAAAATTTTGGCAACTTTTCATTACCTTGAATTGAGGCGAAAACATAAACTGCATCATGAATTCAATTAAAATTGCCAAATATGTTAATGAAATATGTCGATTGAGAGAGTTGCCATGCATGCAATAGTTCAAATTACTACTAAACATGATTTTTGTCATGTCCAGAAACATGAACGCTTACCTCAGACTCAAATGTTATTGCATCGCCTTGTTCAGTAAAGCGTTCCTTCTGGAAAAGGTTGTCCAGATAGTCCAGTGTCTCTAGACCTTCTATCCTCACCTCACTATACAAAAATTTACAGAGTGAAGGTCATATACAGTCAGTCCCTGAAGGGGAACTGTTGCTAATACTGAATAGAAATCAACATAATTTCAACAAGTGTCACCACAGTCAAATTGCAGAGTACAAGGAAAAGAGAAAGGTTGGTCAAGTTTTAGAGAGAACTATACACACCTAATATCAGAAACCAATAAATATGTGTGATATGCAAATGAGAAACTAAACGGCTTGCCATTGACATTCCTGACTCTTGATATCAAAGTCAGATCTCCATCTGTTGCAAGAGACACCCTAAGGCGAAACTCAAAACTGACACAGTTAAACATTTTGTTAGCTTACTACCACTCAAACTGTGTCTCCAACACAGAAGAGAAACATACAATCAGATATCAATTTTGAATTATCAAAGCAACTAAAAAAAAAAAAAAGGTGAACAGATATAATTGTCAGACCACCAATATACACTAACAGACAAAAAAATAGCGTAAAAATTCATACCTATGTGGCCAGCACTTCATATCCTCTTCAGTTGATTTGAGTAACAGGTCAACAAAGGATTTCCCTTCATGATCATTTGCAGGAAGAGGGGGAGGATTGTTATCAATTTTCCACATCTTATTTCTTACAAATCCATGCAATTCTGATGACCCACAGCTTCCAAACTTTAAACAAATTAAGCTTAAAATGTGAGTAACAAATTGTGACACAGCTTCCACTATTGTGACAATGAACATTATTCGACAGAGTTTTGAAATAAACCTGTGGGAAACAAATAGGAATTCCTCCTCGTACTGTTTTTGGAGCCTTGGGAATTGCCTACAATCAATTGAAAATAAGAAAAAGAAAAGTAACTAATGAAATTTGGGTCTCTCACAAGTAAAATTGGTCAAAGGGTAAAAATCAGCACAAAAAGTACGCGGCTGCAATCAACAAAAAGTGTGCAACTCTAATGGCCAGGCACTTTCTCTTTCTTTTTGACTTCTTCATTTCTGTGCTTAACGGAAATGGGGGTCACAGTATATGATTCTTTAATTGACTTCATTTATAGGGAATTTTTCAAAGAACTGATGCCATATACAGGGGAATTGCTTACATGTGCAATTTAGCTGGAAAGAAATGCATTCCTATCAGTTGATCAATTATGGAATGTCGACAAAAATTTTCCTCATCATCAACTTCTCAGAAACTCATCTGGCAGTGAAAAAATTGATGACTCGAAGATCATGAAAATTGAAAAAAAAAAATTACCTTATTGCTGGTGAATAGGAGTTCTTCATCTTTCTCATTCCTCCATGAAGTAACTTGTGCTCCCTGCAAGCTTATCTGGCAAGAAAAGAAAGACAATCCCAAAGTGACCCACCACAAGGCTCAAACCAGACCATAAATTTCAATATGAAACAGGTTTTCCCATCACGGATTTGATGTTGAAAAGCTGAATAATTAAACCAGGGCTTTATAAAAAAATTCAAAAAAGTGCAAATACCGATATTTTTACTAAACCAGACATTTCATGAACCAAGTTTTCCTATCACGTATGGACACTGAAAGATTAAATGATTAAACCATAACTTCATCAGTCATTCAGATAGATGCAAATGTCGAAATCAAGAAAGTCTAACTCACCTTTGCTGATGCACCTTGTGAGTTGCGGAGCACAATTTGATCAATTCCATTCCTATCTTTCGTGGTTATAATTGCTGATTTATAGTCCCATTCCCATACAGCTCCAGAATGCCCCATCCGAAAATCAATGGTTTTTGCCTTCTACTTTTTCAAAGCAAGACCTACCAAGCTTCTCCAACTAGAAACATGCTCAAGGGTGGACAAGTCCACACCTATAATTTGACCAGAAGATGGATGAACTTTGTTAAATAAGAGCAGAAGCCTATATTTCAATTTATCTCTGCATCAATCTTACTTCCATTTACAAATTAACAGGGATCAAGAGAACCCCAAACCTATTTATAAAAACAATAACAATTAGGAATATCTAGTAAAATCCCTTTGAAGCCCTTAAACCCCGACCCACCGAAAAAAGAAACGATACACTCGAAACTCATGGCAACCGCATATCAAGCGACTCGGCACCTACTCTAGAAAGCATCCCATTCTAATTTGTCAGGTTTAAACCAAAAGAAGAGAATTGAAATATCAAAAGAGAAAAGGAAACAAGATAAGTTGCAAACGAAAAACCATAAGAAGTTTGAAATTCCTACAATATTATTTGTGGGAATGCAACAAATAAAGTTTAAAACCCATTTCATCAAAACAATATTAAAAAAATTTCCAGCAACAGCCCAAATTTACATGGTACTTACTCTAATTGTTCTGAACAGAGTATTCTAACAGAACCCCAGTTTCTGCGCCATGAATAAGAAGCGCAAGAAGCAAGAGTGAGTCCCGTCCATGACCTTCCCAATCAATTTGAAGAATCAAGGTTCACTAATACCTGTTCAATAGCGGTAAGAAACCAAGAAAACAAATGCTGAGATGATGTTCAATGACTGAAAATACTGAAAGGGCTCTTGCAGATATGCATTCAGCGTCAACAAAACTCACAATAGAACCGAAAAAGATTCAATCTTGGGAGTTTAAAAACCAGCCCAGAAATGATTCGAAGAACCAGAGGAGTTGAAGAATGGAGAAGAATAAAGAGATGGAAAATGAAGGATGAGGCCTAAGATAAGGAGGAAAAACCGGCTCGGCAACTCGTGTGTCTGCTGCTGGCTGCTGCTTCCGAGAGATCCAGGACGTGGAGATACGAGAAGAACATGTACACATGTACAAACCGTCAATTTTGTTTGAAGAGAATTTTTAATTCAGCTTGGGTCCATTTCAAGGCTATTTAGTATTCATTGATAACATCTCATCACCCAAAAAAAAAAGTATTCATTCATAACA